TCTTCTTTAACAAATTGTTTTTAAATAAAAATCTGATATTTCTTTTATGCTATTGCTCTGTATATAAGGTATTTTGTTATTGTTTTGTTTCTATTGGTGTCTTTCAAGACTTTTTTTGTCTTTGATGTTTTAAAGTTAAATATTGTGTTACACTCTTTTTCATTCCTTTTTTCTTTGCATTTCAGTTCAGCATTTCTGTCATCATATGTTTAAGTTCACTGATTCTTTCTTTGGCTACTTCTCATCTACAGTCTGTCAAAAGCATTATTCATTTCTGTACAGTGCTTTAATTTCTAGCATTTACTTTTGACTCTTAGAATTTTCATCTCTCTTGTTCTATTACTTATCTATTAATGTATATTGTACAGTTTCTCCATCAGAGCCCTTAAAATTAATCATAGATTTTTTTTTATATTTTCAGTCTCTGATATATCTATAGGGGCTTTTGTCGCTTAATTTTGTTGCTTTTTTGCATGCTTTGCAATTTTGTTATTGTTGTTGTTGCCATTGTTCTTGTTGAAATCAGATAAAAATGTATTGGATTAAATAAACTGATATTAATAGGCCTTTAACGTGAGACTTTCTTTTTATCTGGCTAAGGGTTAGGCTATGTTTGCTGTTCATTATAGCTGCAAGTATCAAAGAATAAAATTTCCTCTGGTGTCCTAGTTTTTGTCTCCACTGTTTTGCTAGAAATGGTTTCTTAAACAGGGTCTGAGCTTTGCAATTATTTCAGCTAAAGTCGTTTGTTATCACATAGGAGTCTGATTGAGATGGTGGCAATCATTCCATAATTCTATGATGAAGTTTCATTCTTTTAATGAGCCTATCCCCCTGGACTGTTATCATCATAAATGTTTCTCAGGTTCCCTCCCTTTAGGTAACACGGGAAAGCTAGAGGGGCCTGAAGTTGGGTGTTTCGCTTTTCCCTGTTAGGTTAGGCCTTGGTAAATTTTAAATAGTTTAGGTTCTGATAAACTAGTTTCCCCTGAAGGCAGGTTTTTGAAAAGGAGAACAGAATGTTCTGGGCTCATTTTTTAAATGATTACCTTTTCCTTTCTACCTGCCTGAAGCATAAGGGGACCTTTATCTAATTTTCACCCTGAGAACTGGTTCTGCTCCTCTAGGCTCTAGGCAAAACTTATGAAAGTGTGAGGTCTCTAAGATTATGTACCATGGAGTTTTTAATTCTTAAGTTCAACCACAATGAGCCTCTAAAAATTAATCCATTTCATTTTTTTTTAAAAAAATTTGTCCTAACTTATGCATAAAAACATAAACATGGTACATATTAATGAAATACAATATGATGAGTCAGTACATGAACTCATTGCATTCGATTGTAATCTAAGTGTTTCTGCTGGTACTGGCACAAACTCTTGAGATTTTAATACAAGTACATAGTGGGCAGGAGTTTGTCCTGTGACTTCAATTACCTAATGAATCTAAGAAGAGTTGGTAATTTTCCATTAGTTCAATATATTTTTGTGTGAGGAAGGGAGTGACGATTTCCACACTCTAGTTAGAACAATTGGTTAAAAACTAATACTAGAAAGAGTATGGAAATTGTCACTCCCTTTCTCACATAGACACAATATCTTTATTTTGTTTTATTTATTTATTTGTTTTTATGTGATGCTGAGGATCTAACCCAGTGCCTCACACATGCTAGGCAAGTGCTCTGCCACTAAACTACAATCCCAGCCCCTAAACTTACTTTTGAAAGTAGCAATTTCTGTCCCCCCAAATTATTTTCCATTGTTCACTACTACAGTAAGTTGCTTTAAATATTAATTGTTGGACTATTTCATTGTCATATCATCCCCATGGATATATGCATGTGTCCAAAACTCACCAAACTGTGTCAAGTACATATGTGCAAATTTTTAGTATATCAATTATACCCTAAAGAAGCTGTTAAAAATAAATTCAAGGGCTGGTGCTGTAGCTCAGAGGCAGAACACTTGCTTAGCACATGCAAGGCACTGGGTTTGATCCTCAGCGTCACATAAAAATAAACAAATAAAATAAAGGCATTCTGTCCATCTGCAACTACAAAAATATTTTTAAAAAATAAAATAAATTCAAATGTATGTGGCTCATCCCTCCCCACCCTGTGTAAAGCCTTTTAATGATATATTTCTGAAGTCATTTGAAATACATCCCAGGATTCCCTCACTTGTATCCTCCATTCAACACCTATTTCTTTAGTGTTTCTCTTTCATGCATTTTGCAAAAAACATGCTCCTATCTTCTCTTATAGAAAACTCCCCACATTTCCTTTTGTCTACCCAGTTTCTCAAGTCTTTTCTAATTAATTTAGACAGTATCTTCCTCCTTTGAAATTCTTTTATAAGCATGACTGTATCACCCTGCTTTACTTCACTTTTCCTATGTTTTCAACTGTTTTACTTTTATCTACTCATTTGAATTTTAAAGCTTAATGGAGTCAGAGACCAGGATTTTTAAAGTTTACATTTCTCTTATACCAAATATCTCACCCATAGCTAGACACTTATTAGAAACTGACAAAGAATCATTAATGGATTGTTATATATCAATATTTGGTAGGAAATTATGACTGCTCTGCAGAGTGATTTGTAGACATAAACACCAACCTGCTATTTAATTCCAAAAAAGCAAGTCACCTCTAGGTTTTTAAGAGCTGATAATTAAGACACCTCATATATATTAATAGATGGACCAAGGATCATTTTTCAAATCCTCTCTCCAAATTCTTTCTGTAGCTTGTGAAGAGCTGTTTTTGGAAACTGCATTAGAAATGCAGAGGGAAAGGTTTGGTCGTGAGGAACAAGATCAGCTTTCGGCCCTGTGTTTGGCAGAGGTTGTGGCTGACTTCCCTGTGAAGCTTTAAATCAAACTGAATTTGTGGTGCCTAAGCAGCTTCTGGAACTACAGGAGGGTTATCCATTGTAGGTTATATAGAGCTAAAATAATTGAATATTGTGAGATTTATCAGTAGTAGGGAGGAAATGCAGGGAGCAAATCAATGTAAACCTGAAGATAGTAAATTCCCAGTTTTTCCTTGAGGAAAAAATAGAGAAAGGGGAAACTATAACTTTAGTTAGAAAGAAAAACACTTATCAGAAAGACTAACAGTAAAATGTACTTTCAAATATTCAGTTAAGATTTCAGCAGCTCAGAAGGCTAGACAGGAGGATCACAAGTTCAAGATCACCCTCATCATCATAGTGAGGCCCTAAGCAACTTAGTGAGACTCTGTCTCAAAAAAATCAGTTAAGAAAACCTTATACTCGCTTTATGTACAGTGACAGTACATAAATGTCATGGACAAGAGAAGACTTAATTGAACTACAAATGCTAGTATTCTAAACTCTCAGGCATGGACACTGTTGGAAAAAAACAGAAACAGAGTTAATTTTAAAAGCATGTCTACTATAAATAAAATTTGGGCTTAAGATTTCACTGGAGATTCTCAGAGTCTGGAAACTCTCTTCCACCAACCCTACTTTAAGCCCTTCCTTCTCTCAAAAGCCAGAAGATATTAAGCCAAGTCAACCCGAAATATCAATAAATATAAGTACAAATATTTTTGTAGAAGTCAAAATCTAAATAATCTACCTTCAGATAATGAAATGTTTATATTCAATAACATTCCTTTGCATTTGTAGAGTGCTATTTACTTTTCAAATCACTTTAACCCATTTCATTCTCACAACAAAATTAAGCGTATGAGTTTTTTTTTCTCCAACTTAAATATGAGTTAAATTAAAGCAAAATTTAGTTAATGATTTTTTTAAGGATCCAGCTTGAGTTTCAGTGAGAGGCCTGTATTTAGAACCCAGCTTTTTCCTGAGCACAATTGCCTTTTCCAACTTATGCACAGTACTGATAACTCAGGGTTCCTCCCTACACTCATATTCATATGTCCACAATGAAGATAAGAAAAATACATTCTACTGTCATGTGTAACTAAAGAGAACACATAAAAAATTAATAAATAAATAAAGGGCAAGACAGCACAAAACAACAACAAAAAAGAATTACTTTCAGTTCCCCATTTCATATGAAATATTTTATTCTTACAAATCTGTGTATGTAAGGACATGTACTAGAACCAAAATGCAGGATTGCCACAACTTTGTCACATGACTGGCTCCCTCTTTGGAAAAAGGCAGCAGAATAAAGAAAAGGCAGTAGGGTACCCAGTTTTATCTTGCTCAGGAGGTAATACATTGCTAGTAAGAATATAACCCTTCAATAATCAAAAGCTGCACCCCTGAAAAAAGAGTTCTGGAAAATCAACTTCTCTGCAAAGAATACCTATTCCTGGCTATTATACACCCTTTGCAACTTCATTTGAGAAAGCAAAAACCTGAATGTCACATAAAGCATGTTACTTCCTGTGAGTTGGCAAAACAGAAGGGTAATTGTGGAACATTGTCTGGAGGAATCAGGGCCAAGGTAGAGGTGGGATGAGCATCACTGGGGAGATTAGGGAGCCTGCCACATTAGTGCATTAAACAACAAGCAAGAGAAAAAGCTTCTCACTGATATTTGAAAATTGAAGGCAATTAAGCATCTTTGGTTTACTTTTCATATGGCAACCATTTTACTGCCTAAAACTCTGACCTCTAATAACAAAACCTATACTTCTAAAAATTTGTTTTTCCTTCATATCATAATATAAAAGTATCCAATTAGTTCTCATAAAATCAGTTTAGAATGTGGAAGCTAATGTTCCATCTTTTTTTGCCACACAAACCATGTTGGCTTCATTTATCATGCTAATATTTTGTATTACTGAGTTCCTCACTTTTCTTTCTTATTTGTCCTTCAGTCAAGATACACTTTTGTATTTTCTTATTTGAGGGTCCACATACACATACATCCAGGCAGAACTCTCTTGTGGCCATCAGAGACTTAGGATGGGAGGATTGTGTAACGATTTGTAGACTACATGGATGCTTTCTACCCAATACAAACTGATTAAAACAAGAATACTGTCTTTATTTCAGACTCCTCAAAGAGCATCTTGGAGAAAAAGAAGTTGAGTTGGCACTCATTTTTGATTCAGTGGTGGAGGCTGACCTGGCTAATTATACCTGCCATGTAGAAAACCGAAATGGACGGAAACACGCCAGTGTTCTTCTACGTAAAAAGGGTACTTATTTTTATAGCTATAACTATATTTTGTTTAGTCACAAATAGTTTAAAGTTGTATGTTTTCTGGCTTTATTGTATCATAGAGTATCAATTTCTGTTAATCATTTTGTGTCTTCAAGGAACAATATTTCTCATTTACATAAAATACCTATGATCTTCAGTATCACTAGGAAATAAATAAGTAAACTAAGCATTATTATATGTTAAATCAGTTGAGATGAAATGTACCTGATTATAATCATGTTACATTAAATGGAATCCACAGATTCATTCAATATTTTGTCTGTATTTCACCTTCATATATCTTATGTTATTTAAATATAATGATAGGAATTGTATGAAAAATTTGAAAACCATATGAAAAACTAAGTTGCTTGTTTATTTTCTGACTAAAACTTAAATAAAATAATTAATAGTGTCCTATAACCTTTCAATTATTAACATAAAGTTTATAAGCTATATTTTGTAATATAACCTGGTGTTAAGAGGCTTTTCATAGGTCAATATATTTCTAAATAATTTGGCATTTATAGAGATCCTTATCTAGAATCAGGTCTAGATTGGATAAAATGTTTATAAAGGACAAAGAAAAGAAACTCTAAATTTACAGACCTAGGAACAATCTCAGCAGCTAAAGAAGTTTCTAAATTGGCTCTTACCTTGCTATGACTCTTGATTACTGCAAGAGGCTAAATACTTTGTGTGTGCATCTGGCAAAAGTTTTGTAAATGTAGCAGAACAAATGTTCTCAATCAGTGTTCTTGTTGCCTAGGCTATGGAGCAAAAGAACAATTCAATCAGCAAGGTCACCATTTGTACATCCTGGCCAGGATGGAATTTCTATTTTCCAGCCAGCCTTAATTCTTGAGCATGACCAGAAGCTCTGGAAGAAAATGAGAAGTGTCATTATTCCAAGAATAATGCTTCTCTCTCTCTAGCACCATTTCTTAACTCTATTGTACTTGATTCTTTCTTAAAATAAAGGAGTACTTAAGTCTAATACAGAAAGTAAAGTCAGGAGATCCATGTTCAGCCATATGATTCAGTAGGATTTTTTTTGTCTGATTATGATTCCTGAATATCAGCTTTCTCATCTGTAAAATAGGGGTTATAATATCTACCTTCTTGAGTTACTTTGAGTTCAAATGATAATGATATAATGGATGTGAAACTTATTATGCCTAAATAATTTTTTATTATATGAAACTTGCATAATTCCCCCTATGTTCTCCTATGTATTAGGAATCCACTTAGTCCACCTACATGAAGGGCAGGCACTGACCATGTCCAGGTACCTTATAGCAAAGATCACTTCGTTCCTGTCCATTTCAGTCTTATTTCATGTTCAGAGATTCTCCAAGCCAGAGATGCTGCTGTACTTCTGTACCTTTAGCAATTTAGGCAGTATCTGGCCACTAATAGGTACCTTGAATATATTCTGGTCAAATAAATAATTAAAATTATATTTAGTCATTGAGGATTCATGTATAGCAAGCACCATGCTTATTGTGAAGAATAGACTGCTGAATAAAATAGATATCCCACAAGTCTTGTGGAGCTTGTAGTCTTTGTGGAGGTGAGAATGCAAAGAAAGCCATACATTAAATATTAAGAAAAAAATTCACAAAAGATATGTAGTGTTACAATTAGAAACCTCCAATTAAGAAAAATATTGAGGGTACTATAATTTAGCCAGTGGAGACAGGCATAGTCTTATATTAGTTTTCAAATAAAGTCATCACTCTTTAATAAGTAAAACAACAAACAACAATCCATAAAATTTCTAGAAATCTGGTTCTGTCAAATAAGACACTCTGTAAAACTCTGCTACCTCCTATAGTTTCTACAAGTAAACCTATCTAAAATTATGAATAATTGATGATATCAATTCTCATCCTTCTAGTATTTAAATATTGGGGTTCCCAGGTTTCAGGTCTCCTTGCTCATTGGCCAGGTAATTTCATTCAGCCTCCATCATGTTTTTGCTTACCATATATGATGAAAACTCCAATATTTATATCACTAGCCAGGATTTCTCACCTGAACCCCAAACTTGTATATCAATTTGTCTGCTCAACAATGCCATTTTGAGATCTAGTATCCATATCAAATTTTGCTTTCCCCAAACAAGATTTCCAATTTCTCCCCTCTACAAATCTCGTCCTTCAGTCTCCTTCTTTATCTCCATCACCATCCTTCTGGTTGCTCAGGCCAAAATTTGTGAAGTCATTCTTCACTTTACCTTTTCTCTACCCACATCCTGTATTGAGCACATCAAAAAATCCCATGTCTCTACTTTCAAAGCCTATCCAGAATCTGATCACTTCCATCACTGCCCCCACTGTATTCTGATGGACCAGCACAAATTGAATGAAATCCCAAACCTGAACTATGACCTATAAGGCACTTCACAATCTACTTATTTTTCCTCTTACTTTCTACAACACTCTGTCTTAATCATCATACACACTAGCCCCCTTTCTATTTCTCATGCTCATTAAGTACAGTCCCACCTCAAATACTTTACACAGGCTATTTCCTCTTCCAGAAACACTCTTTCCTCAGCTATCTCCATGACTCACTCCCTTATTTCACACAGTTGTCTTCTTATATATTACCTACTCATTAGGTCTTCCCTGGCAACCATTTATGAAATATAATTAGCTTAATTTTACTTTTTCTCTAACTTGCCTGATTTCTTTTTATTGTTTTCATTATATTTGATATTATAATTACATATTTATTGGCTTCTTTTCTTCTTCCCCTGCTACAAATAAATAGCATGAGAACAGGGACTTTATCAGCCTTATTTATCATTTTACCCCTAGTATATAAAACACAATAAGTGCTCAAAAATATTTGTTGGATGAAAACTCTCCTCACAGAGGACCAGGACAGTGGGGGTAAGAGAAAGATAAAAGGATTAATACAGAGAAAATTTGATCTGTGCTCTTGTCTTAACTACTGTCTTCCCTGGTTTACCAAAATACATGTTTTCCTTTCAAAAATTTTTACTTTCCAAGTTTTTATTCTCTTATTTTTGTGTGTGTAGTGTTAGGGATTAATCCTAGGAGCATTCTACCTCTGAGCTATAGCTCCAGCCCCCTTTTGTTTATTTGTTTGTTTTGAGAAGGATGTTCCTAAATTGGCCATCCTGGCTTGATATTTGCAATCCTCCTACCTCAGTCTCCTGTGCCACTGGGATTACACTTGTGTCCCACTATGTCCACCTATACTTTCCATGTTTCGTATTGAAAACTCAAAGTCCTCGGGGACTAGGCAGTTAGAGAATGTTTTTTAAACAGCCAGATTAAAAAAAAAACATAGATTAAAGAAAACATCTCTTGCTTTAAAGAGGGAAACCATTATTTTGTTCTAGAAGATTTTTACCATGCTTACTAGAATGTGGGTTCATGTATATGAGAGCTTGAAAGTTTTCAAGAAGCTGAAAGGCTGATTATGAAACATTTTCATTTTTAAATATTAATATTCATTTTTTGAAACATTGTGAACTCCAACAAAACAATTTTTCACTCACAGTACACCAGTTTACCCTCTCCATTCTAGGTAACATTTATTTTTTTTTTCACTTTTTCATCCTTGCAAAAGGATGCAGTTAATCTTTTCTCATTTCATCTTATTAGCAGCTCTCAAAAATATGGTAGAACCCCAAAGAAGAGCAAAAATACATATGATTCTACCCTAATTATTTTAGTCAGACCAAAGTTTTGGTTGTCTTGAGAAACTTCAGACATATCCTTTGGAGTTACATCTTTTTGGTTTTATCTCAGCATAGACTGACCTTGTTGACTATAGATTTTCTAACTAGAATATGAATATGGCTTTTCATGGAACAATAACTTCTTAATGATCTGTAAGTCAAACATCTTAAATTTTCTAAGTGATCAAGAAGAAAAGTGATTGATCCATTCATAAACTAAAAAAGGCCTTTTGTAAAATGAAAACTCATGTCCAACGTACCCAATTAACAGGGTCAGATTTTGTAAAAAAAAAAACAAGATGCCCTTAACCTATGCATCTTTAACCTACACTTACCACTGTCTTATTCTTAGATGAAACATTAGTCAGTAAGTACAACTAAATTTCGGTACAAGGTCTGTCCTAAATGTTTTTCTTTTTGGTATGCCAAGACTCTGAACTTAAGCTAAAGAAATTCTCATAATTATTCCTCATTCTCTGCAAAGAAAAAAAAAGATCTTTACCACAAAACAGAGATGTATCACTGAATACCTCTTTTCATTTCAATCTTCTTGTTATGCCCTAACTCTTCAAAGTATACAGAAAGTTTTCTTAGTGTATTCAGGTTGCCATAAAATTTACCTAAGATCAAGTAATTTATAAAGAACAGAAACTTTATTTCCCACAGCTCTGAAGGCTGTAATGTCCAAAATTAAGGCACTGTTAGATTCATGTGTGGTAAGGATCCAGTCATCTTTTTTATATAAGAGAATATCAGAATGGCCTTTACCACCCATATTTCTGCCAATGTTCAAACCAACACCACTTAGGTAATATCTAAGAATATTGAGGATTTCCCTACAGAACTATTATTCTAAGCCCTCCCCCAAATCTCTCAAGGCTCCTTTCATAGCAATGGACCTCAAAACTCTATCCATTACCCAAAAGTACTTCCACATTTTAGGTATTTGTTACAGTAGCTTCCTACTTCTCAGTACCAATTTCTGACTTAGTTCATTTGATTGCTATAGCAAAATGCGTTAGATTGAGTAATATATAAATAACCAAATGTATTGCTTGTAATTCTGGAGGCTGGGCTATTCAAAATCAAGGTATCAGCATATCTGGTGTCTGGCAAGGACCCTTTCCTCAGAGATGGTGCATTTTATGTGTACTCACATGGCAAAAGAGGTAAACAAGTTCCCTCAGACTTCCTTTATTTTTTTAACATTTTTGTAGTTGTAGATGGACAGAATGTCTTTATTTTATTTGTTTTATTTTTAATGTGGTGCTAAGTATCGAACCTAGTGCCTCACACATGCTAGGTAAGTGCTCTGCCACTGAGCCTCAACCCCAGACCTCCTTTATAAGAGCACTAATCCCACTCATAAAAGTGGAGCCCTCATGACCTAATCGCCTCCCAAGGGCCCCATATTTTATTGCTATAACTTTGGGGGTTGGGTTTAAACATATGAATTTAGAGAGGACAAGAACATTCACATAACAGAAAAAGTCCTCAGGTTAGGATCTCCTAACCTGCCTCCCAAATTATAAGTCAGAAGAGCAAGTTCAAACATTCCCAGCCCTCTTTCTCTCCGGTCTATTGGCTTCAGGTGCTATTTGTTCCATTCTGTAGTATCTGATGTTTGTATTCATGGTAAAGAAATAGCTAGGTTCAAAGTAAGAAAATTTTAAAAACTATACTTGTACTTTGGGTGCTTAGAAAAAGTTACAATCCCATCCCATAAATATTTGCTGTTCTAACTACAGCTATCCTCATGAACAGTATACAAGTACAGCCCAAATAAAATGACTTTCAGCTTCGAAGTCAGGGAATGTCCCTAGAAATATAGCTCCTGCTGAGATACAAAATGGCAATTGAAAACAGAAGACAAAAGAAAAGCCAAGTGTTATTTGGGTGATGGCAATTCTCCCCTCTGATTATAGGATAGATGTTTCCCTTTTGATGTGACTGCCTGATCAAAGAATACAGGTTGAGTCTCGGAGCCTAGGTCCACAGTTTTCAACTTAAACACCCATCATTATGTAATACTTTTCAAAGACTTTTTCTTGTAAAATGGACTCCAAGATCACAAAGGTACTTTTCACACCATAGTTTTCTTCCATAAATTTACTGCTGAATAAAGTGTCTGCTTCTTGGGAGCACAAATTGTTTCTGCTGCTGAATTTTCCCATCTACCTAATATAAATTCTACTCTGTAAATAACATAGAAATTGATGGTAAAATCTCCATTAAGTGACTTTGAAAACAGTTAAAGCTGTTCTGACCAGAGAGAAAAATGTGAGGGGGGCGGGCGGTTGTAGGAGAAAGAGGGGGGAAAGAGAATAGCATTTATATCATAAAATAAACATAACAGGATAAAAACATTTTGGATTAAGTCAATTAATGCCCTAAAATGAAAGAGAAACTGATTTTCAGAGTAACAAAAAATTGTATTGCTTTCAACATAACACTGGCTATTAATTATTCATAATTGATGTAAGACAGTAAGAAAACAAAGATTGGTGATTTGCATCTCTACAGAGGTCTCTTTGAGCAAGCTTAGAGGTAGGCGGTGTAGAGGAGAAGAAGCAGAGCTAATTTGTGGTGGGAATTATTTTTTCAAATTAAAATTTGCTTAATATCCAAAATGAACTCCTCTTGCAATAGATTCCAATTTTCTATCACTGCTCATTACATGTCCCCTCATAATATTCCTAATTGATATAGTTTGTACATCATACCAGTCCCACTCTCTTCCTTTCTTCATTCTTCTCTCTCACTCCTTGCTCAAAAAAAGGTGACCTTTGTGATTTTTATATTTCCACTCCATGATTTTCCTTATTGGCTGGCCACCATCATCTCCTCTCTCACTCCACTTCCTTTACAAGACTACATTCCCTTTCTCCCCACAAAACCTAACATATTTTTCATAAAATGGACTCCAGGTATCCCATCCTTTCTCCCCTGCTACAGCTACAAGATTCTGTGGTACCTGCCCCCATTGATGTTTCTGAGAGCTACCCAGTTCTTTCATTCTGTCTGATAAATTGTAGTTTATCTTTTCACCTTGGAACTAAAAGGTCAAAAGAAGTCAAAATTCACAAGTCACATGATATTCAGGAAGTACTACCAACAGTCTATGGAAAAATAGGTAGTATTTCTGTGCTTTCATTCAGAATAGAGCATGTAAAGCTGTGGTATAATAAAACTTCAATTTGAAGTTAGGAGACCTTAGCTCATGTCCTATATTGGCCACTTCTTTTAGGTACATGACCTTGGATAAGTGACTTATACTACCATTTCAAATTCTTCATCTACAGGTTTGAATATTTTTTTGTGCTGTAGGATTATTTACATAGTAGATAATAGACTGGATAAATTTTTTATCTATAAAGTAGTATATTCCCTGTATATGCTATATGCTTTTCTTTTTACAAAGTATAACATGGTAAATCAATCTTAATTGATATATTGGTCCTGATTAATTTTTCTTAAGCAATGATCATATGAAAAGACAAGGAGATTCACAGAGAAATATTGACTATCTGATTTTCAAGAGTGACATATTGACATGGCCAGTAATTTAATTTTGACAGTGCTCCAGAATTGATCCATCCAGAGAGACTCACCAATGCCAATGAAACTCAAAAACAACTGATGTATAGACCAGAATGTCATTCCCTTTCCCAGTTTCTCATTACTTGGAGAGCTAAATTTGTAATAAAATAGCCACTTGGTAATTATGAATTAGATTAAAAGGAGGTCAGATAATCTTTAAGCAATTTCATTGAATTATGATGAGACCACTAAATGTTCTTGTCCTCAGTTAAAATATATTTCTGCTCTCATATCTCTCAGATTTAGCATTTCTTCTCTTTACAGTGCTGAACTCACATTCTAAATTCTCTGTTGATTTTCCATTTCCCTAAATTCCATGGTAGCATTCCCTCTTTTGATGATACATTCTTTAGATTTGTTAATATCACTAACTAATCTATGGGTAATTCACTGTTCCCTGATCCAGGGAGACATTCTGTTTCCTTCTATTATGTGTTGATTTGATTATGCCATCTAGGGATGCCCACTGGAGCAGCCTAATACAGGTGTAACCTGGTGTTAGTCAAAGAGGCTAAGTGATTAGCTAGTATTTCTCATTCTCTTTTAATTCCACAGTGCGTATTATATCATATATATATATATATATATATATATATATATATATATATTATGGTCATTTATTCAAATAAGTAGGGGAAATGGGTAAGCTAATTTCCTCTGCTTACCTTGTATTAGATTATGCTCTACTGGGGTTAAGTGAAACAGATTAATATTTCAACCTTATTAGATTTTATTTGATTCCGAAAGTAATTTTATGAGGTTGTTCTCCTTCAGAAGAATAGGACCTGTGGCCTGAGAAGTTCAAGATGGCAATCTTGCTAAGCCAATGAGATAATTTAGCAAAAACAAGAAAACATAGGCCCTGAAACCAGAACAACACAGCTTTAACAGTTCCCTGAAATACAGTTAAAGCAATAGTATATATATGAAAACAATATAAATTGGGAGTGACTATTTCATTTTAGATAGACTTGTGACCTTTAATAGCAAATCAGAAAGAAATAGGAAAGACAGGGGAATAGTTCTGACCTAAAATTCCTATGTAAATATATGAATGTACCACAGTGAATCTCACATCATGTACAACCACAAGACTGAGATCCTAATTAGAATAAGATGTACTCCATGTTTGTATAAATGAGTTAAATTATACTTGACTGCCATGTATAACTAAAAATAAAAAATAAAAATAAATAAAATAAAAACAAATCAAATTTTTAGAAAATAATTAATTTTACAAAGATTTGACTCATACAGATATATCAAGAGCAAAGCATTAAGCAAGAATATTTTTGAAAGAAAATACAAAGGGGTAGTAAATTTTACACACAAACTAGAAATCTGGGAAAATCCCAAGTATCCCTGGTTTAATTACCTTTTCCTGTTGATTCTGTTTGCTTCAGATTTAATCTACAAAATTGAGCTTGCAGGGGGCTTGGGAGCAATCTTCCTCCTCTTTATACTGCTGGTGATCATCTACAAATGCTACAACATTGAACTGATGCTCTTCTATAGACAGCATTTTGGAGGTGATGAAACTACTGATGGTAAGTTGTCTCCTGTTGTTCAATTAAAATATTTATTTATAATTATGTAAAAGAATATCCCTATTCTTTTTTTGGAGGGTGCACCAGAGGTTGAACCCAGGGTCACTTAACTTCACCCCCCAGCCCTTTTTATTGTTTATTTTGAGACAGGGTCTCACTAAATTGGTTAGGGCCTCTGTAAATTGCTGATGCTGGCTTTGAACTTGCAATCCTCTTGCCTCAGTTTCCCTAGTCATTGGGATACAGGCCTGAGCTACTGCACCTGGCAAGAATATCCCTATTCTTTAGAAATATGAACTGAAATATTTAGATGTAAAAGGCCATGATATATGCAACTTACCCTCAAATAATTTAGAAAAACAATTTATCTGTCAAGAAAGAGAAAAGAGGAGAAAATATTAGTAGGTGAATCTAGGTAAAGGATATATGTATTTTTTGAAATAATTTTATTTTTGCAGTGCTTTGTTTGAAATAATTTCCAGAAAAGTTTAATAAGAAGGCATTATTTGGTTAGGAAATAAAATTATTTCTGTTAATGCCTTTTCCCTTAGTAAGAAATAAATTAAGAATAAATTCTGTGTTTTAATCCCAGCTATCTGGGAGGCTAAGGCAAGAGGATCATAAGTTCAAGGCTAGGATGGGCAAGTTAGCATGACCATGTCTCAAACTAAAATAAAAAGAGCTGAGGATGTAGCACAGTGGTAGAGCATGCTTAGTATGTACAAAGCCCTGGCTTTGATCCCTAAAAACTCAAAAAATTTAAAAAAATCAATTCCATGTTTTTGTCTAGAAAATTCACATGTATGTACAGATCATTTTTAACCATTGCTGCCACGCAGAAAACAAACATGGAGCTGGGGTCATGGCTCAGTGGTACAGTGCTCATCTCATATGTGTAAGGCACTGGGTTTGATCCTCAGCACTTCATAAAAATTAATAAAATAAAATTATTTTTAATTTTTTTAAAAGAAAATAAACATGCAAGAAACAGATTAAAATCTACAGAAATACATTTTACACTTCAAAGTACATGAATGTACATATTTTGAATGCTTGTAGCACTATTCTCAAAGGTGACTCAAAGGATAAAAATTTAGACTGTGTGTTATACTTTTCTATTTGCTTTTCATGACTTTTGGAAATCTTTTTTATGATGTATCAACAAAGAATTGTACTGAGCCTTATGTCTTTGGACAACCAAACAATGTTTCAGTTTTTTTCAAGAGAACAAATTACCATGTTTTCAATCAACACCAATAAGAAATCATGACATATTGCTTCTTATAAAGCCTTCACCCCTACAGACTACTGTGAGCCTTGTAAACGTGTAAAAATGCCTTAGGTAAGCCTACATTTTTATTTTTATTATTTATTTTATTTTATTTTATTTTTTGGTACTGGGGATTGAGCCTACAGAAACATTACCACTTAGCTACATCCCCACATCACCAGCCCCATTAATTTTATTTTATTTTATAGGGTCTCACTAAGTAACTTATGGCCTCTTTAAATTGCTGAGGCTGGCCTCAAACTTGTGATCCTCCTGTTTTAGCCTCTGGAGTCATTGGGATTATAGGATTACAGGCATGCACCATTGTTCCTGACCCACATTTTTTGAAAAATTACAATTTGCAAATCATTATTAAAAGGCAGTTTAAAACTGAATTTTTGTCATACTGAAATCAAGAGAGAAATTTTGCTTGTGGTTTTTTTCCCCCTTCTTTGGGTTAATGGTCTTAACAAAAATGGTCTTACAGAAAAGAAGAGGAGTTCATGATTTTGTTTTTTGTTATAGTGATAGGTGTAACACCAAAATTTTGAAGATCTTTGATTTGGGTCTTATTGTTAATATTAAACGGCTATATGTGCGAGTCTTAATTGACTTTCATATTTTCACAGTAAATTAGAGAAATGCTCCTTGATGAGTAAATATGCATGCTCATTTATTTCCAAGCTGTGTATTTACATAATTATACTAGCCTGTTTAAAAGTACTACACACTCCTCTATATGTGTAATAAGAATTGTAATGCAAAAAAATCAAAATTAATAAAAAATAAAAGTATTACACACTCTTATTCAGACGTACCTTCAAAATGAGAAATTCGAACTTGTTTTATTCATTGTTATACAGTACACATGAAAATGTGGTCAATTACCCTCTGCTCTTTTATACAGTAATTCATATTGAAAAATCTGACGTCTTACCTGTTCATGTAAAATAACTAGATGAAATATGCTACTAAGGAAAATGTCACTGGTTCCCAGATGAACAAGTGGCTAAACTATCCATTTGGGAAGGTAAAAGATGAACATCTTTTATCATCTCTGTAAGAAATGATACAATTTATTGGGTTAATTTACAATAATTTTCATCACACATACCCAATAATCCAAAGTAACTGATTATTTGGAGTATGCAAATTAATATTAAGTCCGTGCTAATATCATTGGATTATCAGGGATCAAATATTTCATTTTACATCTTTATTACCAATTATTTGGCCCATGTGATTCAAGACTGCAGTAATAAAGATAATTTTATTTAGAAAATTGTATATATTGATACAAAACCCATTGCATGGGGGAAATGCAGTATGGTAGGAGGGTATTTTAAGGGTATTCATTAGGAAAAAAATTAAAATATTTTTAAAATATTCCAGTTAGCTATTACAGAGATTTTGGATTCAAAATCTCTGTGATAGCAAAATGGAATACTTTAAAGTCAGCAGATGTGCCGTAAGGATTAATATATGAATTTTCACCTCCTTTTACAAATATCCAGTTGAATGATGCCAAATGTCAGACAGATAGGATACCAACATTTTCATTGCTTCATTTAAATATCTGGAATCTCATAAATTTTACCTGCATATCTTTTCTTCATGTTTTTTCTTTGACCTTTTTATAGTGGCATTTCCTGCAAGTTATGATAAATATACTCTGTTTTATGAAATAAATAAATACTTTTCTAGGAAAAATATACTTTGTTTTATAAAATAAAATCCATTCAACAAACTTTGACTTCTTAATTATTTTTAATTGAATTCACTTCATTTCAACCCACAAAAACAGATTGTTTTATTTCTTTGATCTTTCAATTTTTTGGTCATTAAATATTTAATAAATGTCTACTGTGTGGCAAGTGCTGTGCATGTTGCATTTTCTTATATTCTTCCTCATGATCAGAACATCATACACACATGTGTACTATAGTAGGAACCAAGTATCTAATAATCACCAAAGTTACACAGTCTTTTCAGTTTAGAAGTTAAGGGTTAGAACAGTATTCAGCACAGATGCGGAAGAACTGGGCTGTAAACAGAAATGACTACCTGGTGATGAACAAGATTAAAATTAGACTTAAAAACAAGGAAGGAAAGGTGTGACAACAAGAACATTCTTCCATAAATAGTTTGGTTGTCTTCTTCATAACTACTCTTTTCACTAGAACAGCATGCCTATGATGACCACTGTGCCAGTCCTCTTCCTTCTATTGCAATCTCTGCATTGTGCTCTATTTTCTGGTTCCTCAGATGAGTTTAGTTAGCATGATTTAGCACATAAGAAGGCTCATTAGTGTTGCTTAGAAAACCAGTGTCCCTGAACTGCCTTTCAATTTTAAGACAATTTTCAGGCCTTGCTGTTAACCTTATTCACATCATGTTGTTGCTTTTGCTCTACCCATGTTGCACCTCTTTGTGAGAAACAGCTGTGGCTATTCATGAGATTTTCTTGGCTGTCTACATAAAGCTGAAGTGCATTTTTTAAGCTGTGGCATCTGCGTCATTCCTGGATCACTACTTGGCATCCTAGAGTTTCTGGGACATCTGACATGGTGGCTTTGAGAGCTCTCTTCCTGCTCTGGCCAACCACCATAAGCTCTTCACCTTTAGTTCATCTTAAAGGGACAGGACTGAAATGAGAAGCAAATGTTCTCAAATGAGTGATGTGCTTCTAGAATGCTAAGTAAAATTTATTATCCAGATGTTTTGGGTGTTAACATGTCAAAGGGATCCACGTTCTTTGTCATAATTAATTTTGGATACACAAATATAGAAATACTTTTCTAGGAAAAAGTCTTTGCAGCACTGGACTGTAGTATTCAGAATACAGACAGAGTAAGTAAGGATAGGACCAGAAATTTTGAGTTTATTTAGGCATATTTGGAGGGCTATAGCCATAGTCAGGACTAGCATTGGAATAACAATCTAGAAGGTCTGATGAGATGAGTGATAGAGTCAGGTAGCCATTGCATGTGGCTAGCTCATAGTGCATCTTCAACAAATCATTGTTGAATGAATTAATATGCACTTTAATTTAGGGAAGTTTATCATGTAGGAAGGCTATCAAAGTCACAGCAAACAAGGATCTTGCTGGACGTGGAGTTTGAGGCAGTAACATTATCCACCAAGAACAATGAAATATATTCTGCTCATAGGAATGGAGCTGTTTGTCCTTTGGCCTATTTTATTCTTCCAGCTGTGTATCATCGGCAGCTCTGGGTCCCAGGTGAGTAATTATAGTTGGAGAAAGTCAAGGGCCTGCAGGTGCATCCTGTGCTTGATTGGAACAGGGGCAGAGGTGCTAGGATTACCAGGAGGTTCTTACATTAACATTGCTCATGAACATTCTCACTTCCAAGTGGAGTTTTATGCACAACCGTGGAATGTGCCCAATTTTTAAACCAAATGATCTCCTCAACTATCAAGGGCAGTCTTTCATGTACATCTGCTTCTAGGCAATCAAGTAATCTAGCCAAGGTTTATGAAATCCTTTTGCAAGCAAGGGACATGCTAAAGACTATTAAACTTTACTCCCAGTCTCAGATACCATCTTGACAGAGATAACCAAAGTTCTTTTCATGCTGGGGTGATGAAGACTAGAATCTGACTAGAATTAGAACACCATAAATCCTACCTCAGGTATCTCTAAATAGTGAGGGGGGCGTCCCAACTCCTTCTACAATAGAATACCTGTATCTTGTATGTCTATAGTTTATATCTCATTCAGCAGGTAGAACCAAATCACTAATATCATGGGTGAGTGGCTGCTTTGTTCTATAAATTACCTTTTTGTCATGTTTTAGCCATATTCTAATCAGATCTGTTTAAATGAACAATGTTGATATATTCTAGAAACAATCTTGGAATTCTTGCCAGTCTGTCAAAAGGATTATTTGCAAGTCACTGGGCTTAATAAGCATTCATTTACAGTTTGTCGTGAGCCTATGCTCACTAAATTAACTTTAAAAAATCTTTTTCCATAACTGAGGGAATTTTGAAAATAACACTATAACTTTTTCAGTGTAGCCCTTCTAAACCCATGGGGACTAATACTTTGAATAGCTGTGTTCATTAACATTTTGTAGGAAATAATGCATGCATACACATTTTTACCTTAGAGAGACTGGCTATGATCCAATACAGCAAAAGAGGAAAAAATATACTTTCAAAGCACAGTTAACTCCCTGACTAAATATGTGAAGGGAAAAACCTAATTTGGCAATATTGGAAGGATGTATATTTTGAAACAAAGACTTCTTTTGGACCTTATGTCAAATTAGTTGGCCATGGTCTAAACAAGAGTAACAGTCAATGTATTTGTCTAAAACCCAGCTGCTGTCTCTAATATTTGGTAATGAACTGCTTTTTGTATATGAAGATGACGACACTAACCAACTGGAAGTATGGCATGTGCTTTGAGTAGTGTCTCCAGGAGGGAAGCTGGATTATTTAAATCTTCCACACTCTATGGCCAAGCCCCTGTTGGATCTCTTGCACATATTTGTACAAACAAGGTAAAGTCTGTGACCAAGTAGCACAGCCAAGCCAACTGGCAGATAAAGGGTTCAAATCCATGACTTTGGTCTATTTATTCCTACATTCAAAAACACTGAGCTAATCATATACACACATCATTGAACATCAAAAATAATTCCTTTAGTCTGTCCTAAATAAAAGTAGCCCATCAAATAAAAGTTTCAGTTCATTTCACATGACTACTTTATGTTGAAATTGACTTGATTTCCTATAATGTGTCATGTGACTTAATTATAGTGTGTATTTCAGCCTATTAGTAGTTATAGATTCTAAAAGATGGTAGAAGAATCAAGGCCCCATACATGGAACCATATGGAAATATCACAGTGAAATCCAGTAACTTGTACAATTAATATGTGTTAACAATAAAAAAGTAAGAATAAAAAGTACATTCAATTACTTATGCTTTAATAAATTTTTCCTTTAATCCGAAAAAAAATCCACAACGACCTTTTAATACTTACCACTCTGTTTTTGCTCTAAGACAACAAGGAATATGATGCCTATCTGTCTTACACCAAAGTGGATCAAGATACGTTAGACTGTGACAATCCTGAAGAAGAGCAGTTTGCTCTTGAAATACTGCCAGATGTCCTGGAAAAACATTATGGATACAAACTCTTCATCCCAGAAAGGGATCTCATTCCAAGTGGAAGTAAGTATTTTCAAATTTTGTTTTTAAAATAGTTACTTTTAGAAAGTTATATGGAGGCTTCAAGCCATCAGAGCCAAGTATTTAGACAGTTGTTTCTTATAGATTTTTAAAATTCAAATTTCTCCTCAACACCTGTATTTCCCCTTTAGAGCATTTGAACTTTTAAAAGGCATTCTCACTTGTGTTTTAGGTGTGGCTTTTAAATTGTGCCTTAATGGCATTTTTTAATTATATTATGTTAGTATTCTGAGAAAATTATGGTCCTTCTAAAAAGTCTGTAAAAGTCACTGTAAACCATTTCAGTGCTTTTCAGTTCCAAAGCCGGTCTTCTGTCATTGTGCTGCTACTTATTCTTCCAATCATTTTTACTAATAACTCTGAATATCTGCATTCCAACCTTGTTATTCATTATACCCTGTTACCATTCCCAGAAATATGAGGAAAACTCCACTTAAGAAAGGTACATGAGGATATTGGGTACAGTATTCTCATGATGTATGTAAATTACTTTTATGAAGTGCTGGACACTGTAGGCTTGCATGCCACTTTTAACTAATGCTGCATATTGAATGCTACATTTGAGCTTTCAAAATAAATTTAGCTTCAAGTCAAGATATGTACTTTGTTCTTGTTAATATTCAGAATGTGTACATGGTAAAGTGTAATGACAATACAGAGAAGCCTATGTTGTGGTTCCTGCTCTCAAGGAACTTTTAAGAATGTTCTTGAGAAAAAATAAAAGAAGGACAACTTATTTCCATGTGTCTGATAATATCCTCGAGAGGAGAAGATTGATCTGGTGAATAAAATAGACAACATGATAAATTAAACACATTATAATAAAAAGGCCTATATTTTCAATACTTGACAGTATATAAAATAATTTCACATACATTATTACACTTGATATTTGCAATAATCCTTATTTTAGGGTCCTTATCCTCCAGATGAGGAATCAAAGGCTCAAAGAAGTCCAAGATTAGACAGCTGGCAAAGAATAGAGCTGGGAGTAGAACCTAGATCTGTTTAACTTTAGTTCTCATTTTGCTATGTCAGGCTGTTCATCAATAACATTTATTCAGATTATTAGCAGTCCGCCATGGTCACTAAGATGATAAGAGACAAATGGAAAGAACTGAGCTTTTGTTGTCCATCTCTTTTCTTAGGGCACACGTATATCTATGTATATCTTCTGTGTGTATAATTTAGTATTCACACTTACACGTGCATGGAAAGGAACAAAGAGAACATATTTACTGGTTCATTTCTTTCCTGCAATGTAAGAAGTATAAACATCAGGATTCCCCACACTTCAACCCATACTATTTTTCAACCTTTACTATTTTTTGTTAATTTCTCCCATTTTCATGACTTTAAATACCATTCTATATTAACTGATTCCCAAAGGAACATCTGGATAACTCAGCATTACTTTTTGTTCTTCTATCTTCCTCCCAAATCTTGTGCCACTTTCATCCTTTGAATTTTCAGTACCAACAACTCAAGTACAAAACCTAATTACTCCTACAATGTTGATTATCTCCCTTTACTTATGTTTCCTGCCATCCATTTGGCCCCATTAATATTATGTGAACATCCTTGATCATGCCACAACCCCAGTTCAATAAACTAATTGTTTACTATTTGCTAAATAATAAATTTCAGACTGCTACCAGCCCAGATTTATCTCCTAAATTTGTCTTCTACCATTTTCTCTACTCATATCTTCCACTCCAGTCAAACTGTGTCTTTTAATACATTGTGTGTCCCTTCATTGCTTTTGTTCATGTTAGTCTTCTAGGCCTATTTAAATCCTATTTATCCTTCTTCATATCACTGCCTCTGTGAAGGGTACATAATAATCTCTCCAGTCCAATATTTTATGGTGCATAATTACTTGTTTGACTGTAAATTTTGTACTTCTATTTTGTTTTGTTTTATAACTTTATGCAGCAGCTTTCCATCTATTTATGTCTTGTTTAGTCAGCAAGATTATAAGCTCCATGACAATAAATAGGTGCTGAATCTCATTTATCTTCATATTTTACTGTTACCTAACAAAAGATTTGGTTTCATTAAGGGTCTCATAGTTGTCTTTTGATTTTGTTTGAACAGTGTTGTTTTAAGACAAGAGGTAGTAACAAGTATGAAATAATGAAGGGCTTACATTTGTGCATAGCAGTATTTGAAAGGCATTTCCTTTAACAAGGTGAATGTGAAAGTTAAAAGCAGCATTTTACTGAAAGAAAAAAAAATTGTGGGTAATTCATAAGAATAATATCAATCATTAGAATAGGATAACACAAACACATGCCTTTCTCACATCTTCATATGGTATCTGCTTCATTATACACAAAGCAAGTGTCATCTACATACACATGCCATATATATATGTATATTTTTTTCATATTAGAAAAAAAATGCCTAGTGGGCTGGAATATAAACTAGCATGTGTGAGCTCCTGGGGTCTGTTCCAAAAATTGCCAATTTTTTTAAAAAGGAAATACCTAGAAGATATTGGTTAATCATTGATGAAAAATTTAAAATATTCTTATACTAGTTCTTGACCTAACTTATATATATATATATATATATATATATATATATATATATATGTATATATGATTTCTTATATATATATGTTTTGGCAAAAACATCTTGTGAAACAGAAATTCTTCCAAATCTATTTTAGAGTAATAGTGTCCTAAATTATATTATGGTAATATCATCACCAAAATGGATTATATGTCAGATCATTTTTAGTAGAACTCAGTATGGTACGAAATTTTCTGCTTTTGTATGTTCCACAATTGTTGGCACAATTGGCACTCTTTATCAACCCCTATAAATAATTTTTTAAAATGTCAGTCTTTAGATCTGAACATTTCAACATTAGTGATTGTCCTTCTGAACTGGAAAAGAATGTTTCATCATTCTGTACATCCGAAAGGGACAAACATAGCTTTAAAACATGTTGACCTAAGAATATTCCTTATAGGTGATTGATCCTCTTTATCTGATACTCAGTAGATGACCCTTGCTTTGTGTATAATGAAGCAGATATTGCATGAGAGTGAGAACAAGACTGGGAGAACATGAAAATAAGAGAGATGCATTCCAAAGTTATGCCCTCTTATAGCTCCATTATGATGACTTGACAAATTAATTGAATCAGCTCAGTGTAGAATTAGCCAAATAGCATGTAGAATATTTTGTACTTCATTGAATCAGCAGGTCGTGTGGCTAGGTTGATTGAAATTCATTGGTTGATTTGGTGTACCATATTCTGAAAGTTCTCCTTGACCATGGGGGTAAAGGCCTGCACAAACCATAAAATTTCGTAGCTCAAAGTTTCAAGATTTTGTTATGGATTATAACATACTGTGTGAAAGATAACAGGAGATAGTCATGTAGTTTACCTAGGCATTTAAAATATTTCCACATAAGATGCCCAAGGCAATGGCATTAAGATGAGCAGAGATTTTATAGTATATAGAAATCATTTTAATACTTTTCAGATTGTGTACACCCATCAGCCTAAGCAGGAACTTGCACTTGCATCTTGGATACTCAATGGTGCACAGGAAGACTTTATTTTAAATTTTTTAAAGTAAGCCATTGGGACAAATATGCAGTTTTTAGATGCAACCACTGGAGGGTGTTTGATTTAAATCCTTCCTTCCTGCAAGAGGAAATTCATGTTCTCTGAATTCCGATTTGCGAGTGTAACCTGCAGAGGTTCTTAAAAAGGCCCTTTGACAATTTTTCTTTTCCATCAACATTTCAGAGCTAGCTGAGCAATCACCATGTCACGATTAATGAGTTTTTCCTTGGCATTTTTAGCACGCATTCAGGAAGTCGATGAAGTATATGAATAATATACTTGATTTACACATGAATGACAGAGTAGAACATTTTGGACTTGGTGTTATGTGTGTTATTAAAGAAGCTTCTGTGGTCTGTATTTGCAGCCATTGGTACAGAGTTAACAGGTTATGCTATATAAATATAGACACATTCCTGTGGGGAAAAAAAAAGCTAGTTACGATATTATAAGCTATGTTTGTCCCTCACATCTCATTTAAAACATGTTGACCTAAGACTACTCCTTCCTCCAGAAACTAGCAATGAGGCCTTTGAGGACTATAAAAGCAGACTTCATGAGATCATTAATCATTCATGACAATGAATTTCTATGAATCAAATTAACAAAGTATATGACACAAACCCACTTATATTTAATGTCTTCAATTTCATGCACCTACAGTTTCTTTTGTGCACTCTTATGGTGTTCCAACCGAACTTTGTCAACACATACCCTTTCCAATGCGCACACAGTTTCAAAAGTACTTGAAACACTACACTCTCTTTTTCTTAACTTCTTAGAAAGCTTAGGAACAAAGGCATCACTTCTGAAAATGAACTGAATATATCTGTACCTTTCCCACATGCCCTACCAGGAAAATGTTGTTTGTTGTTCTCTATGAACCAGCAGAGATGGGGAGATTTGATGCAAATATTTTTTTTTTTTCCTAAATGCTGAGACTAGCTGTTCATGTCTGGACATTATTTTCCTGGCAATGATTACCTTTCCATTCTTGAGCCTGTAGCTAGGATCTTCCTTATGTTTTCTCAGGTTGGGTGCCTAAATGTGGCAAGAATTCTTACTTTCCAGTAAAATTTTGGTCTGTTTCTTCCCAGACTAGAAACATCTGTCCCTGGGAACAGTAAAAGCAACTTTGTTGCCAATAGGCATCTGAATGTCAGAAGTGACAGGCAACCAAAAGAAAGCCAGATAGAAAACACCCTACTCAAACTGCCTAGAGACACAAACTTGAGAAGTAGAGATTTTCTCACCCCTGCAGCTGCTGGGTTTTGTGGTGTAAAGTACTCTACACAGAGCACATTGTGTTCATGGGGCCTAGTGGATCCTTGAGGAATGAACAGATGTGCTCTGAAGCTGACATGTGACCAACAGAAGCCAGCTGTGCAAGTGAGAT